CAGCTCCTACGCATCTCCCGGCCTCTCTCTGCTGCAGCTCCTGCCATTTGCGGTTGCCCGCCAACGTCATCGACAGCAGTGGATGCAAGAGTCGTCAGTGGCATCTCCGTTAACGTCATCGAGGAGGACGTCTTTGGCAATTTATCAAATGTCAACGACGATGTTGCCAGTGTCGAGGATGTGCTGCTCAGTTGCCGTGCACCTTTGTCTTGGCCTGCCATCGAACTGGATGTTGTCGTGGAAGCTCCTCCTCCACCTCCACCTCCACCTCCACCTCCACCTCCACCTCCTGCTGATGCTGATGCCGGTGTGGCCCTGCCACTCGCCTCTGCCTGATAATCGCCTGTCAGAGCAGCCTGGCTGGATGTGGCTGCGTTGAAGTGAGTCATGCGCTCCGGCAAATCGGCATTCTCATTATCAAAGGCGCGCAATGTGGCGCGGAGATCGAACAAGTTGGAGGTGCCAAGTGGAGCTGTTCCCGTGGCCCCATACATCTCTGGGTAGTACAGGCCCTGCGGAGGCATGGGCATGGGACCAGGAGCACCAGGAGGAGCACCTGCACTTGGCGTTGCGAACTGGGGCGTCAGCAGCATGCCTCCATGTGTGGGTGTGGCCATGGCAAGGGTCCATTGTGGAGGAGCTGCTGCTGCAGCCATTGGCTGTGTTGGCATGCCCGCTGCTGCTTGGGGTGGCACCAGCACTTGGATGGGCATGCCGCCCCCCACTGCCGCTGCCGCTGCCCCAACTCCAACTCCAGCGCCACTTGGGGACGTCGCCTGCGTCGCCTGCGTCGCCTGCTGTTGTATGCAACGCAATGTTTGATTCTGGACCAATTTCGCAAAGTACATTTGATATTGCAGCTGCACATGAACATGTCAAAGGGATGCATAGAGACAGAGAGAGAGAGGTTGATAGAACTCTATTATTGATTGACTTTTGGACTGGAGTTCAATGAGGGTTTACCTTCATCATCTTAAGCCTCTCGCTGCGCTGCGACATGGCAACGGTTTGCTCATCAATCCGCTCCAGCATATGGACGAGCTTCTTGTTCCGCTCGTTGCGAACGGTCTGCTCCTCGAGAAACTCCTGGTACTTCTGGCGGCTCTTGAGGCGCACGGACTTGTCGCTATGGGAGATGCGATGCGGTTGGGTTCGGCTTTTGGCACACTACTTATCAGGGAATGACAAAGGCTACTTACAGGTCGCTGCGCTTTTGAAGTATTTTGTCCAACTTGTGCTCCAACTGTTGGCGATTATCCTCACTATGCAAAAGGGGAATAGTCATATGTACATATGTATGCAATATATAAGGTGGAGTGGAATGTTATTTGTGAACGAACAGACAGAACGAGAAGCTTATGGAAAGCTGTCTTCCTCAAAGGAGGGACTGCCTGTGACTAGCCGCAGGCCATATTGTATTCCGTCTTAGGAGTACAGTAGACTCTCCTCGTATGCTGTAATTACGGTAACAGTTCCCCCTCTCACCTGCGTTGCAGCTTCTCCTGAAGCAACTCCACCTGCAGCTTGTAGTTCTCCAGCTCTGCCTGCGGAAACATGGTGTTTCACTGTTGAGGTATTCCTTCGTCTTGGTCTTTTTCTTGGACTCTCTGGGTTCGAACCGATACCTTTGGTTGCCTCGACTCGACTGGCCAAAGGCACTCTCCCTCATTGACACAGTTCGCTTGGCACGGGACCATGCCATAAATGCGACAGTGGATTCTATTTTTAAAGGAACCCTACTCGTATTTGAATAGCCGCATTATACTCGCACTCTTGCACCTGTGTTCGATTGGTGGTGTGTGTTTCTCTCTGCCTGGCATTTGTTTTGTTTCGTTGAGGCACGTTGTCATGGCTGCCACTGCCACCGTTTCTTGATGGTTTGGTTCCTTTATTTAGTTTTTTCGGTGGTTGCTTGGCATTGGCCATAGGGACAGGACATGGCAGCGGCGGCTGCTATTGATTTCCCGCTGGGGTTCGGGCTCGCCCAATGTGCCACGCATTGCGAGAGGGGAACTTTCGATTTTTCGCCTCATGAATTCTACATTCCATTGTTCCAGGGGGTACGGTTCCACTAATTACACAGGCGGCCAAGTAGGTCAGTTACATGGCTACAATTCTTAACTTTTGGCTCTGTTTTTTTTTGGCCCCCCCCATACAACAAGAAAACGTGAAGAGTCGTCGGTAGATGGGGCCAAGTCGAGAGACATGGCATTTATAATGCATTGCACGGGACTTGCCTGCACGAGCGACCGCAGCTTCCTTCACTCTTTCAGGGACAGTCGGAGTTCCCAACCCTATCCCGGATGAGTGTAAACACATGTTGTTGTCGCACCCTCCCCCATCTCCACTCCCACATACACACACACACACACACACACAGACCCGACACTACCAAAACTTGCTCGGCCAAGCGTGCGGCACCTGAATGTGAATTAATGGTAGCGGCGTCTATCGCTCCGCCGGCCGCAGACAGCAGCAGCAAGGACTCGCACACTTACCGCCACACACCGCTGGCAGGCATCACCATCTCCTGCCCAGCGACAGCACTGACCACTCTCCCTGTTCCTGCCACTGCCACACACAGTTCCGTGTCCTGCTATGGTTCTGCCTCTGGCCCTGCCACTGGCACTGGCTTTACCTCTGACCCTTGCTCCGGCTTGGCATATGCCGGTGCTGTCACGGTGTCGTGGTTGTGGGCCGCAATATAACATTTTTTGGTGATTTACATGTAACGGAAGGGTTGAGAGGCAGAGTGAGTGAGCGAGAGGGAGGATGGGGCATGTCATAAGTGCGGCGGGTTATCACAGCGGTTCCACTTTGCAACGTATCAGAGTAGAGCAGAGTCGTAGCAGGTGGGGATTCCAGCCCAGCTTCAAGCTTATATCCTAAGAAAATACGCGTGTCAGCCTTGGGGAATTCAATTGATTATCCATCAATCATTCACAAAATTACCTCTCAGGCTGGGAGACATCTTTGAGCCCCCTGCTAGCCACCAGCCCTGACCTTCAGCGGGAGGGACTTGAAACTTGTTGCCAGGCGACAAGGACACACGGCCATTTCTCCTCCCACTGCAGTCGCTAAGCGGCGGCTAAAAGTACGGAAAATGCATACTGCGGAAAGGGTTTTTTGCTCGCCTTTTCCGCGACATGCAAGCGTTGACAGAGCCACAGACACGACCGATTGATTTTCCATTATACATGTATGTATATGTGGCAAGCATTTTGAGGTCCTGCCCCAAGGCGGCCAATATTTGCGTATTTATTATTTAGCAAAAGCAATTTGCGGCAAGACCTTGGCGCTATTAATAGTACCCCAAGTTTCGAGTGGGAGGAGTAGATATTGGAATACAAGTGGAATGAAAAGTTTGTCATAATCGAACATTTGCATTGGCTGCGGGTTCCAAATGGAAATTGAAAATTCCATCAGTACCATTTTTCCAGCACAGAATTTATGTGTATGACTTTATGCTGCAACCTTGCATGTGTGTGTGGGTGGGTGTGTGTGTGTGTATTCGAGGGTATGCTTATCAGGCGCTGCACAGCGTCCTCTTTTTCGGGGCACTTAATTTTGGCTGGCATCTTCAGGGAGGGACGAAGAAGGAGTGCAGTGGAATGGCTTGGGAATTTCGCGACCCGAGAGCTTCTTTTCCCGATTTGCAGTCAATGAAGTAGAAAACTGAAAACTTTTCTTTTCGAGTCTATTAAAAATAATGGCAGCTAAAGGCAGAAGCGACCGACAAGTGCGAAAAGCGCCCCATGCCGTCGCCACATGAGTGTGTGTGTGTGCAACTGACTCTCTCTTCAGTTCTCTTTCCTTCTCCACTTGTGTGTGTGTGTGTGTACGAGACATTGGCGGGCATTAAATTAATGTCGGCCCTGCAATTTCTCACAGCGGCCGGGTCGCAGACCCTGTCGGTGCATTGACCACCACTTGCGGCTGCCTTTAAAATGCTCTATTACCCTTAGGATATATCGGGTTCATGGGGCTCAAGTTGGCTAATCATATATTATACATAAGTCTTTGTCCGAAATGCTGTTTGACTGATGGACAGATTAGCTGCGTTTTTAAAAGTGTATTTTCAACTATCTTCAACTGATTCGAATGTACATTCAGACCATGAGTATCATTCTGCCATTAGATTACCAAAAAACTTCCTCCGTTTGTTCGAAGTATTTTCTTAAACTTCGTCAAAACAGTTGCTCTTTGTCTTCTAGGGTACCCTTTGGTCTATATATGAACTTCTTTGTCAAAAAGGTCCCTGTACTTGTTGTTTGTTTTTTTGTTGAAACAGTCGCTGCGGGCATGCTGGGAAAAGTCTCTGGCCCTGGCCCGAGAACCGCGATTCGTTGAAGCGGAGGAGCAGTGCCGTCGCGCAGGTTTGGCGGTTAATGCGATAATTTAATTGTAATGCGGGTCTGGGAGTCCTGTGAGTCCTGCGCGCCAATAATTTAACTTGCAATCAGCGCGGCATTTATTGGGTTAAACATATAAGCCGGCACCCATGGCGGGGTTAAAGCGGAGCCAGGACACGGGACACAGGGCACATACTTACATGTACCAAGGAGTGAACGAACCCCAAGGAGCGACTGCAGAGCCAAGGATAACCAAGACAGAGAGAGAGAGAGAGAGCCGGAGAAATAGCAGAAGCAGCAGCAGGAGCCGTGCAAATAAATTCAACGATTTCTGTGCAATAACGGGGACGAAGCAGTTGGTACGGCATTTTTGCACGTAAGCAACGAGGACGATGACAGCAATGAAATATGCAAGCCGACGCCTGAACCCTGGCATTCTCTTTGGGATCTCCATGAGTCAGTGGCATTGGCAGGGAAAGAGATGGTCGTGGGCATTGGAGTGCGGTGCGGGAAAGTCTGATTTCGAATCGAAAGGCAAACATTTATAAGCTGCTTCTCCTAGCAACAGTTGCCGGGTCAACCTACAGTGAGTCATATTGAGTGGCCTGTGGACACATTCATGGATAAAAGATATCCGCTTCAGTTGCAATGCCAAGAGGATACACCGAGGAGCAAGCGGAGGAGCTGCGGCGATTGCTGCTGCTGCGCAGCTACAAGGACACCTTGGACAAACTGGTCCTTCAGCAGCGGGCGCAGCGTCTGACCGCGCCGAAGCCTCTGTCGTTGCCGGCATCGTTGCGGCGACGCCGCAGCTCATCGATGGACCCAAAGCCACCACCTGAGCGAGTCCTGATCACCGGCAAAATGCTGCCACGCCTGGAGACGCTCTTGGGCAAGCCAGAGGACGAGACTGATCAGCTGGACGAGAGCCTGCTGGATGCCCTGAAGTTTGAGCGGGATATGGATGCCCTTCGCACGGTCTTCGAGACAGCCATGGACCAATTGAGGCCAAAGAAGGAGAAAGCAGAAGGTGAAGAGGGGGAAAAAGTGGAAATGACTTTGGACCAAGCCATCAGTGCTCTGAGTGGCAACAACAGCGAGGAGTCGCAGGCAGTCAAGCAGCTGCAGGAAGCCACGGAAGAACTGAAGCAGCTTAATGAGGAGCTGGAGAAGCAGAAGCGCGACTGCCAGGCTAAGCTGAAGGACATCGCAGAGCGTACTGCCGAAACCAAGTACAATCTCCGTTGCGTCTCGCGGGTCAATGACCTTGAGTACAATCTGGTGCAGCGCTGGGAAGCAGGTCGTATCGCACAGGCTACGATCTGGGGCGAGAACGCCGAGCGGGCCTACCTCCGAGATATCCTGGACTACAAGCAGCGTCTGGCCCGGGAGGAGCGGGTCAGCGGCGAACTGCGAGCCTTCCGGCAGCAGGAGATCTTGGAGCTGCGGCAGCGCATAAAGGACTGGCAGGGGCGCTACACTAGCGACATGCGCCGCGTGGAGCGGGAAGGAGAGGCCTGGGAGCTGCGGATCCTCGAGCAGCAGAAGCTGCTGCAGCGGCATCGCGAGGTCTACGCCGAGCGGATGGAGTTCGTCCAGGAGTATCAGGCCAAGAAAGACGAGGAGCAGCGGCTGCTGGATCTGCAGGTGCATCGCATGGAGTGCGCAATTAAGCTGCAGGCCTGGTGGCGGGGCACGATGGTGCGGCGCGGCCTGGGACCATTTAAGAAGAAGCCCAAGCGTGGCAAACGCGGCAAGGGCAAGAAGTAACTGAGTACACTGAGCGAAACGATACAGAATAATGTATTTTTAATAAAAATTAAAGTTTACTTATGCGGCTTATTTTCCCTGCGGGGTATCCACCGGAGTATCGTTGGAAAACGGAACTTTACCATCAATCGACGGAAAGCCTTAAGTGAGCATAAAACTTAATGGATCTGCCATGAGAAACGCATCTCATAAAATGCTCGACAGTGCTTTCTCTCTGTGCACTTTGAGTGGTAGTTTTTGCAGCTCTTTCTGTCCGCTTTATGGAAATTAACTTGTGACTTAAAACCAATTAAAAGTTGGACGCTCTGCAGTTAACACGTCAGCGGTCAGCTACTGACGTCGGCCTTAATGACATGCTGCCATTGTCAACGGGATCTGGCCTGGGTCCGGGTCCGGGTCCGGGCCCGCGTCCGACTCCGACTCCGGCTCCTGCTCGGAGCATTGTTTTCGCCGAGGCGATAATAATAATCGTCAGATGGGTGAGTGCCGGGGCTCTTCGGGGATGTCCGAGAAGTGGCAAGGACTGAAGTTGGAGTTGCATCGGGAAGTGGAACTGGAACTGGAGCTGGAGCTATTTTGTTTTTCCCTTTTGTGTCCGTTTCTGTTTTCGCTTTCCTTCACTCCTGTGTATTTATTTATCTTTTATGCCAGGAAATGGCCAAAGTGGTTTATTTGTTGGGGCCGCTTTCATGGCCAACGGAATTGTTGTGGGAATTGGGCGGTGCAGCAGTGGCAGGGGGGAGCCGCCTGATGGTGCTTGTTTTCCCGGTGCGTGCGGAGATAAACTGCGACAATTTGCCCATTGAATGAGTGGAACTTTTTCGCCATCAGCGGGCCGCACAAGAAACAAAAGCAAAAGTTTCCCAGGCGATTCTCTCTCTGGATTCTCATTCTCTCTCTCTCTCTCTGTGTGTGTGTGTGTGTGTGTGTGTGCGTGTGCGTGTGGACATTGCAATTTAAAATATAATTAATGGTCGTTGCCGTAATTTATTGAATTTGCATGGCACCAAGGCTGCGATGCTGTCATTTCTTGTTTGCCGTTTGCCAGTTGCCTTTTGCCATTAGCAGCCTCCGGTGGAGGCTCCTGCTGGCTGCCCCCTCGTGGCGAGTGTCTGCACATGCACTCACTTTTGTTTTAATACACCGTGCCTGCCCCTGCACCTACTACTCGTGCTCGTTCTCCTTCGTATAGCTGTCGCCTGGGTCCCTGGGAAAACAACAGAAACAACCCAATAATGACTGGGCGAAAGTCCATTTGGTGTGGCGAGGCCTTTTGTTTGCTTGGCGGCGGATGAATTAATGGAAGATGGGGCTGACCAAGGCGAGAATGAGGGCAACAGGCAAACAATCTTTCTCGCCTTTTTCCCCATCATTTTTCTTTTCTGTTTTCTGGCTATCTCTGGTATGAATGCTCTCCCTCTGCCCTCCTCCCTGCCTGAGATACATGCCCTTTGTGTGTTGGTACAGTGGTGCCTGGGCCATCGCCAACTCATTCATGCTTCCTGCACTTTGCATGTGCCCCCCGCCACCACACCGCTCCGCACCGCACCACACCGCACCGCACAATGTTTGCAACTTGAAGAAGGCAACGCTCCATAATGGCTACGAAGCACTTTCCCCCGTCGACCATTCGGCTGTCCCCCGTCCCCAGTCTTGTGTCATGTGCGTTACTTAAAACATACAAAATGGCGTTTGGCCGGGAAAATCCTTTAAAAAGCGCCACGCAACTTCTTGGCCCCTGGGATCCCCCGGTGGTAAGGTGGGAAGCGTGCGGAGCGGTGATGAGAGGCAAAAGGGCCAACTGGGGTGCCCAAAAATTTACATACAAATTAGGGTTAATGAGCAGTGAAATTGTTATTTAACTTCAGTTGGCCCGTTAAGCGCTTTAAAGTGCTGCAGCACGCAGCACTTTAGCGGAAAGCAGGAGCTAGTCTTCAAAATATCTGAATATCGGAGCCACTTTGCGACACGTTTTGGAAATTCTCTTTAGCCTCTGGATAGCCAAGTGACCATTTAGTGTCAGTTTCGTTCAAATATACCCACTCATAACAACCCATACACACCCACGCACCCACACACACACACACGTACAGAAGAACAACAAAAATTTAATTAATAATTGTGCGCGCAATTCATAAATTGAATATTGCGCATACGCCACGTGTTCTTAAATTAATTTTCATTTACATTTTTATATTCATTTTGCACTTTTGACTGCAGCATTGGGGAAATGAGGGAGCGCTTACCGTTTCGAGTTTTTATTTAAAATTTAATCAAACACTTTAATTTGATTAACAGCGCACGTCTTTCAATACAAATTTATGGCCGCACGACGCATAATCAGAGACCAGCAAGAGAATTGGGGTAACCGGAGGCGGGAGACCGGACAGCCGGACCGGAGAAACGGAGCACCGGAGACCAGAGACCGAATGCCAGAGTGCTCCACTGACCAGCAGCAGCCGTAAAAAGGGTTGACTGTCTGCCCCGCTTTCCTCCACTCGCACCCCAGGCCACACTCCCACTCCCACTCCCCCCCACACACTCACACACACACACTCGTACTTCTACAACACTCGATTTCAACTCCCGTCTGGGCTTTCAACACATCAACGCCGTCATTTGATATGCGTGCGTGTGATGGGAGCAGGGGCCAGGGGCGTCTCTAATAGCAGCACGTACGTTTGATAAAATATTTTATTGGCATGTATGGGTGGCGCGTCCTGACGCCCTGACGGCCTGACGGGTCCAGCGATTTTATAGATTTTTCGAATGCCCTGAAGCTGAAGGGGTTTCCGTCAGCCCTAGGCGCAGTCTGCAGTGTGAAAAACGAATGAATACTCAGCGTATACCCCTTCCATTCATCATTCGAGTAGTCAGCAAGAATTTGTTCATTATAAAATGATTGCAAAACCCTATATCCAATGGTTTGTTTCCTGCTGAGACATAGACAGGCCTTCTGTTCGAGGCTTCTTCTCAGTTATTGAATTTTTTATTTTGTTTGCGTTTTCTCCTTGCGTTTTTCATGAAATTAGTGCATCATGTATGCCATTCATAGGCCGATCAGCATTTTGGGCACATAAATCATTTTAATATACAACTTCAGATGGCGTTTTTATTTGCCTACGTGTCTTTTGTGCGAGGCCGGAGACGGGGCCATCGCTGTTTCCACAACTCTATCTCGTCAGGCGAATCTGAAATAAATCTTCCATTCCATTTCTGGTGCACGGAAGTCACGGCCACCGGTCAGCAAGTTTCGGATTTCAGATTTCGGATTTCGGCTTTCTGCTTTCGGCTTTCGGCTGGGGAAATGTGTACGACAAATGCCAAACAGTTGAATGCTTCTGGAGCCGCTCTCCTTGAGCACATTCTCGATTTGCTGTCAAATTGCTGCGAGTCTCGAATTCGCTCCGATTTCCCATCCGTTCCGCATGCTTCTCTTCTGCTTGGCTTAATTCCACAATTAGTTCGAGTCCCGGGAGCATCAAATTTATGCGCATTCGAGGGATCCGTGGGGTATAATGTCCCGTTCATTGAACCTGTCCACGGAGCATCCAAAAATCAACGCACGGCCCACTAAATTGAATTCTTTGTTTTGGCAGTGCCACTGGCAGTGGCACTGGCCTCACCAGAATGGGAAAAATAACTTCAAAAAACAAAGCAAAAGTTTTTAGCAAACGGCAATATTCTGTTATTTCATTTGTTTGTTTGCTTATATTGCTGCTGCTTTTTGTACACTCGGATAAAATAATCGACATTTGTATTTTCATCATTAAAAATGAATATTAAAATAATAAAATATCCTTTTGTATATGTTTTAAGAAGAAAGAAGAAGAAATTATAGAAAACTTAAAACAGACTTTATCGATCTTTGCTAATTTTCAACAGAAACATTCCATGGCTTTTCTCTTGGTGTAGCTGCTGATGTGTTCTTGTTGCTGGGGTGCCCGTTTGGAATTTTAAATATGGCGTCTGTTTTGTTTGAAACCGGAAACGAGTGTCTGTCAGTTTATTTGTTTGCTGCTGATGATGTTGTTGTCGTCTCCGTTGTGTCGGCTGCCCCGAAATGAAGTCAGGCAACTTTGCCAAAGGAAATGCCGCCTAATGTGTTAGTTTGTGTGTGTGCATCTGGGTGTGTGTGAGTGTACAGATGGCAGCGGCTCGGGAAAACGGGGTCTTAGGGTATTACATTTACCAAAGGTTTGATTTTGCTTTCCACCGATGCCATATGTCGACTATAACAGTGTTTTCCCCGAGGGAAACCCGAATTGAATACGTTTTTGGATATTTTCAATTTCCCGATGGGATAACCCGAATGAATAGGATGCTTCTATAAGTATTTTTGAATAGAAGCACATCTCGTGAAACTATTTCAAGGACCTTGAATCATGATTCGATGGTACTTAGCTACCCCCTTTTGCATCTATGGCTAGCCACAGCTCTGCTTGCATAGTGGAACAATGGCACAAAGCCGGGGCACACTCAAACGCCCAGAAATATGTACTCGTATACATACAAATGACACAAATTTGCTTTGGAGCTAATAAAGTTGAGTTAAAATTTTAAATAGTCTATACTTTTCGGCACATTCGTTTTAATGCTTATGACGCTGCTGTTTGGCATGCAAAATGCCAAAATTCCGACCGAGTGGAGTGACAGCATCCTGGACCGAGCCCAGTTGGCCGACTTCCTTCCCTTTTGGCCAACTACCTGACATGGTTGCCAAAAACTAGATTTGCCACTCATTATGCCAGGCACAATAAATATTTGCCTATCATTTTGGTATTTGCATTTGGCCAACCAAATTGATGAGAATAGGAATAGGGGTGCCGTGCACTCGGGAGTGCTGCCACAAATTGAATTGGAGCAAGCAGGGGGCCATTAACAAAACGGAATATTGCTTATCGCCATTCGCAATGGTGGTTTTCCCTAGACCGGACCACACCAGAGCAGAACAGAGCCTTCAGGACATGGCACAAACACAAATGTACATTTGATATTTA